GCAAATATTTAACAGAATAAATACTTGAATGTACCAGTTTTGTACTTAGCATATGTTTTTGAGATTATGCAACTTAGTGACCTGTCAATATCTGGTATATTGATTTGGGATGATGATCCTTCGCGTCTTGTTAATATTTGGTTTGCTGCTTTGGAATGACGTAACTCGGTGCCTTATTTAGTAAAATTTATTAATATGGTGTAACTGAGAACTTTGTTAATATTTAGTATTCTGGGTTGGAAAAGCGCAACTAAACGCCTTGTTAATTTAGTAAATTACGCTTTTCTAAGCCAGAATACTAAATGTTAACAAGGCGTTTAGTTACGCTTTTCTAAGCCAGAATACTAAATGTTAACAAGGCGTTTAGTTACGCTTTTCCAAACCAGAATACTAAATGTTAACAAGGCGTTTAGTTACGCTTTTCCAAACCAGAATACTAAATGTTAACAAAGCTTTTAGTTATGCTTTTCCAAACCAGAATACTAAATGTTAATAAAGCTTTTAGTTATGCTTTTCCAAACCAGAATACTAAATGTTAACAAAGCTTTTAGTTACGCTTTTTCAAACCAGAATACTAAATGTTAACAAAGCTTTTAGTTACGCTTTTCCAAAACAGAATACTAAATGTTAACAAGACGTTTAGTTAGGCTTTTCCAAACCAGAAAAATGTTAACAAGGCGTTTATTATTCTGGTTTGGAAAAGCGTAACTAAACGCCTTGTTAACATTTAGTATTCTGGTTTTGTGGTGGGTACTGATGGGTAACTGACTTACCTTTAGTCTAGAAGTAGGGTTGGCTATACGCAAAAATCCAATTGTGTATCTAAAACAAACAAAGCAAAAATAAAACGTGGTTATCTTTTATATAGCAGTTTGTTTGTTTTTAAGCACAGAACTATACAATGGTCTAACGGTGGCCCACCTCCCGGACTGAACCCCGAATTTTAAACTATTGACTCTCAGGCACTTGGGATCTTTACATGGGAAAGACACACTTCATCAGTACTCGTAATGGCGATATTCGTATAACAAAGAAAGTATAATATTAAAAAAATTGTTCGAAATCTAAGTAAAGTAAATATATGAAAAATATTATATGATTCTTACAAACATTAAAGAAATTAATATTTTGACTTTTCAGTGATTATCTCAGACATAGGGTGAAGTTTACGATAGTAAAATGAAGTTTAAGGCATGTTATAGTTTGCTCAGAGGGGTGAAGTTTAAGGCATGTTATAGTTTACTTAGAGGGGATGAAGTTTAAGGCATGTTATAGTTTACTTAGAGTGGATGAAGTTTAAGGCATGTTATAGTTTACTTAAAGGGGATGAAGTTTAAAGCATGCTATAGTTTACTTAGAGGGGATGAAGTTTAAGGCATGTTATAGTTTACTCAGAGGGGTGAAGTTTAAGGCATGTTATAGTTTACTCAGAGGGGGTGAAGTTTAAGGCATGTTATAGTTTACTCAGAGGGATGGTAAATAATTGTTTTTTAAACAGATTTTGATATAATATAATTTTTTTGTAAGTCACGTTTCTTATAAGGCTGTCTAGTTATTTAGAGGTTTTAGTGTTTTATTTTATTAAGAAGAACAAACCTTACTAGGTGTTTTTCTGAATTTTACAGGAAGGGTATGTAATTGATAATTTTATGATCTTGAGGGACATTCTAAAAACCAAAGCATTGGATGGACCCTTAACAATAATTAATTAATGTGTAACAACGGGGACATACTAAGAGCTGAGTCACCAGGTGAAGCCAGAACCTCGATTAGAGTGTGACCGTATAGTAAACTGTTTTGTAATAAATCACAATTAATTATTAGGAACCATTAATGGTAGATTTAGCCTTATTTCATTAGATGGAGTAAGAGCTGTTCGCAATTGAATCTGAATTTACATTATACTTATCTATTTATGTCGACATATAAATGCTTAATGTTCATATTTATACGTAATATAAATGTACATTAACGAAAGTATATATTTATAGACATATTAATTAGTGATACAAAAACAATTAGGTGTAAGCAGACACAAACACTATGCATATATAAATATTAATGTAGAAACATGCATGTGTTTGTATTTATAGGTGTATATTTTCTTATTGATATATATCACGTACTTAATTGAAATTAAAAATGTGTCTCAAGATAAAGAGGGCCCATTTTTTTAATATACATACAATCATAATACCATGAGTTTTATAAACCATTACAATCACTTTTCATTAAACCATGAGTTTTATTAACCATTACAATCACTTTTCATTAAACCATGAGTTTTATTAACCA